TTTTTCAATAGTGTCTGTTTGATTTTTATCTCTTCCTCACCTTTTTAAGTACTAAGAAAAGCAAGTGGCATTTAATGGAATGTCAGTGTCAAGAAACTAACAGCCTGATCCAGCTCCCATCAGAATTAATGGAAAAACTCTCACTCTTTCAGGGGGTGGTGTTCTAAACTTGCAATGTACAGGTTCTTCATCCTCAGGAGCCATCTTTATTCCCAGCCAGGTGTCTCACAGTCAGACAGGTGCAACCATGTCTGAACACCACTGCACCTGACTCAATAAATCCTGCTTGTTTTGAGAGCCAGATTCAATCCCTAGGCCCCAAGGGAAGTGATCCTCTGGAACAGAGCGATCAAAACTTGTAAAACTCCTGAAAATGATACTTTTTCTGGATTAGCCACTTGGCTACATTGTGTATACTGCATTTCCATCTTTCTTGTCCTATTTCAGTGAATCATTCTTTATTGCTTATGTTGTGAAGTATCTTGCAGTACATATACAGGGTGAGAAATACAGCTGAATTAGCACTACAAAATCAACTTTAGTATTGATAGATTTCCAAGGCTACTTTTTTTGGTTGATAATGATATTTTACTTTCACTTTTGGTGGACAGCACTACTGTTTTCTACACTTAGTCTCTTTCTTTCAGCTGAACGCACTTTATGTGCTGTATAAAATGTTTGTCTTTTTATTCTTTTTTTTAATGTATTCTGTTTTTCCCAGTCCTGCAGCAGCTACTTGGTTTGGCATTTATTTCATGTAGCAGAAAATACCTCTCACAGAAATGCAATGGCAGCCTGACAGCAAGCTTCTCTTTGGGCATGTTGACATCATCCTCCTCTCTGAGCTCTAATTCAACTCCCAACACAATGCCTAAAACCACACAGCCTCTGAGCACAAAAGATGAACACGAGAGTACACTTGTGCATTCTGTTGCCCTGTAAGCAAATTGCCTTGTTAATGAGGAATCAGTCAAATAATGGGTTTGATAGTCTGCATTTAGATTAGCTAAGATAAAGTGCAAAAGTGTTTTTTTGGTGTAGCACAGACAGCAGCACATCCTGTTCGAAGTTCAGGGTTATGAATGTCATTGACTAATTCTTCAACATCTCTCACATGAAAAGACAACATGCAGCTATTTCATGTGTCATAACTACTCTTTGGAAAAAAAAGGAGGAAGCTAAGATTTTCTGACCTCACTGATAGGCCAAACAGGAGTTGCACTTTGTAAAGTGCATATATGCCTCATAGAAGATAACTCCTGCCTGTTTATATTTACATGGACTATTCCTGGAAGAAGGGGAGAAGAATGTCATTGCTTTCATGTAATAGATAAGGAAAAGAAGCTCAGTGGGTACGTGCATACAGCTGTGGGTGAGCATTGCTTTCTCTGCTCATCATGATAAGAAATCAGCGCATGCACACAGAGAACCCCTACAGATTCAATAACATGTTGTGAATTGCTTCTCTGTGCCATCTTGGTCGTATAGTCATACATGTAATGAATTTATCTAAACTCTGTTCCAATAAGGAACAAGCAAACCAACAGCCATTTTATTTCTGAATGTTCCAAGCTGCTTGCCTGTCTGAGCTCTTCATGTCAGTAGTTGAATTGGAAGTTGATGGAAGAGAGGAGGGGAATGTCATCCATACTTTCATAGTTTTCCATTCCAAGCTAAATAGCTTGGATGAGAGAAGAGGGAACATAAATGAATCACACAGACAATCTGTTCTTTCAACTGGTGAGGTTGGGAGGTTAAAAGATTTTTACAAATAAACAATAAAAAAAAGGCAAGTATTAGCTTATGTGTTTGACAGAAGGCTGTAATTATGCTCTGCTCTGTACCACATAAAATCCTAAAATATGGAAATTTTATGTTATCTATCCTTCTCCTGTAGAACTAGGACATTCCCTTCTTATCGTGGTGTCTCATCGGGTACATTATTCAAACTCAGGACAAAGTATTCCACCACTTGGGATATCACACAAACAAAAACAATGTGAAGAAGCTCATAATAAACACATCACAAAACCTTGCTTCTTGGCCTTTTAAATTTTTGCTTGCTTTGCTTTGGCAAGGTGAAGAGCCCATCAAACCTGCTTGACCAGCTTCCTCACTGGGACACAATCTGAAGGTAGACTACGTCTTCCACAAGCAGCTCTTGGTCATCCTCAGCACATTTTCTGAAGTGCTGGATGCATTTGGGCAAAGTGATAGGACTGTCCTATCAGCTGGGCATAAGAGAACTGCCTATGCCACCAACCCACAGACTGTTTATACAGCCTTTGAATTTCCCTCATTCCGACTGAAGAATGGTTCAGTGTTGGCACAACAATTTCAGGGCTGTTATAACCTGTAATAGTTGGTGACAGCCTCCAAGCCACTGGTATGTCAGGCCAAAACCAGCTGGTTGGTAGCAGGCCTGGCCACACTCTTCCACTGACTCCACATGCTCTATAGTTATGACATGGACAGTGGAAAGTGGTTTCATAAAATCCATGCCAGTAGGGGTGTCTGCATTTCACAGAAATATCCATATAATCACCAGATCTTTATTCCGCAGTGACAGGACAGGGAAAGGATCTCATCTTGGCTGTTTAGGGTAATTTTTTTTTTCAAATAGACTAAGTAAAAACCCTAGCCATTCTCTCTGTCTTTTTAAAAGTCATTTGTTTCTTCAGTGCAGTTGACCTCAGAGATTCGCCACTGCATGACCTGTAATTTGAATGAGAAATATGCTGCTCTCAAGATTGAGCCTAAGCAGAACTCTGATAAACTAATCTTTATAAAATCCACCATGCTGCCGAGTTTAACAGAGTCAGGAGCTAGCTCTTAGTTCTTTTTTTTTTGTTTTATTTTCTTTCAATAGACTATTTAGAGCACAGCATGCTGAAAAAAATAGGAATGAGGGTCCCCAACAGATATTAGTTATGGCTGTACTCTTCCTTTCACCAGAAACTCAAACTACACAATCACTACAGCGATCAGCATGAAACACATCATGTTAAATCCCTCATTTCTTTAGCATAATATGAAGTCTCTCTTTCTCTCATATTACCATTCTGGTCCGTCAGGTATGTGAGGTTTTTCAAGGCAACAGGTGTTTTTTGAAATAAAATACAACCTTCCCTTCAGCTCATTATGTGAAAGAGACAGCAGCTGCAAGTATAATGCTGAGGACACATGGTCTATAAGACACTCAGAAGAAAAATACTCCTTGTTCCACTCGTTAAGGTAAAGCACAGATGTTGCTTCAGTGATAAGCGTGAGCATAAGGCAAGCACAGACTGCTCCATGTTGTAAATTCAGAATCTAAGCTTTCAGAATATCTGTTAGACTGCAGTCAGAATCACCAGTTTCTGTATGTAAGGAAAGCTAATGTAATGTCTAAGCTCGTGGGCCTAACAAATACTCCTTACCACAGATTACATTACACTATCATCAACAATATGCTCGGGACTATCCACAGACTTGGCAGATAAATTATTAATAATCTTTTATATGATTAATTATGAGTATCAAATAGTGACAAATGCAAAATTAATACACTTTCTGGTTTAAACATTTACAGATAGTGTATATTAAAAACGTTTTAGCCATTTAGAATGTTAAATGCAATTCTTTCCCCTGCCTAGTGCTGTTACTAAGGCTATTTCTGTATCTCTCAGTTCTAAACTGTGAGAAATCAACAGCAAAATAATGGTGTCTAATGAATGTAATAACCAAGCTAGAACTTAGCCTTTCCAGGGAGCAGTTCTCTTCCTGGTTAGGTTGATAATTCCACACCCATCCTTCCCCCCTCATTTATTAATTTTTCCCTAATTTCTTTGAAGAACAAAGTACATACATTGTAGATTAGCCTTTTTCAAATAAAAAGGAAGTGCAGCATTTCATTAGAAACACAAAGATCCTCTAGAATTGCCTGATCTTGTTACTCTCTCCTGTTTTCTAGGCCTAACTAGGTCAGAAACTCTGCCCTACAAACAAGAACATATAACACCACAGAAAAAACACATTCACAGAATAATCCAGTCATCCTGCTCTGCAAGTGGACTGGTTGCTTTGGCTGTCTTGAAGAATATTTATATTGGCCCTGCAACATGAATCTGGGTAGTTTGTAGGACTGCATGTTTTTTCTGGCTACAGTGTTTGTTATGTAGAGCAGCAGCTGCGATGAACTGGGAATTGTGCACTCAGAGAAAAGCCTGACTGCATGGCTCTACCAGAAAAGTCCTTCAGATCCATCTCAAACCAATCCTGGCTCTTTTGTGTGTGGAGTGCTTCTTTTTTTCCCCCCAAATCTATATTGGTAACCTGTTGGTACAAGTCCATCCCTTGTCATTTTATCACCACCAGTTTTAGACAAATCCATCTTAAAAAATGAAATGAAGAAAACAAGTTCTGATCACAAGATATTATAAAGGTTAGAAAGTATTTTCATCATTAAAATGATAGCATAGTACTTCCTTGTTGTAACATATAGCTTAACTGGCTGACATACTCATCTTTTAGTTTGCTATGTTGTTCCAAATGAAAGAGTGAGTAATGAAAATAAGCAGTCAAAAGAAGAAAACCACTGCCTTCATTGAAATGATGATATACATGCCTAGAAAACAACTACAAGAAGTTACCGTTGCTTGGGCCCACCTGTTGTTTGCTACTCGCTGACTCATGCTCTTAGTTGTGTTTCTGTCCTGCAAAGAGCTTAGCAGCCAACATGACAATTGAAATTGCTTGTGACTCAGAATATTTACGTATTTTGCATACTATGGTCTTCAACTTTTGTTGCTGTAGAAGGCAAGCAATCTTTTCTCAAGAATCTCTAGAGGCTTTTGCCCTTCTTGAACCAACTGTACTCAGTGTGTGTGCCAGGTTACTACTAATACAAGAATTAATAATTCTGCTATTAAGTCTCCTGTGCTCAGCAACCAAGGCTGATCACACAGATCACAAGGCTTGCGTACTTATATCATCAGGAGAAAAACTGAGTAAATACTCACATGTGTCTTCACATCACCTTCAAGAATCTTGCTGTACCTGAGAAACTCAGCAACACTTCCATTCAGCAGCCTATCAAAGGCTTCAACATATGGTGCTATGCCTATGGAAGAAGAGCATTCCATTATAATGGGTTCATAAAGTACACAATGCATAGAACATTCCTTTGTAGCAGATGGAGGAGATATACCATAGAAACAGAGGATATTGATGTAACTTCATTTCTGATTTGTGAAATCAGTGAAAAAGGATGTCTAATTATTTTTGTCCTAGATAGAAAGAAAAAAAATAATCCTGCTTTTGGAAGAACTTAAATAGGAACAGGAAAAGAATTTACTGTGTATAATGTAGTGGGAAGCCTCTTTTGTGGATTATGTGCTAATAATAACAGGTGCTAAAATAAACATTTCTCAGCCCTTCAAAGGCCTAGTGACCTGAGAAGCATGATTGTCTTAACAAAATTCTCCTGTTGCACTTTAACCAAATATTATCACCTAAAAAAGAATCTGCACTGTACTCAACAACTATTTTTATACTACCCACCCATGCCTGAAGATCTCTGTATTGTTTGGTGGCTTTTAATAGCAACCAATTCCATTTCCAGTAAGAGAGTCTTTAGAATGGGCTGACAGTAGATTTATGCACTTAGATGTGGCTTTGTAATCTCCTTACTTTGTCGTCTCACCTTGCGAAACTGTCACTGGATAAAGAAAGCTCAAACAAGTCTTTGAGATGACATATCCCATTGTCTATATATATGCTATGCATTCTAACAGAGGAATAAAACTGCTATTTTCTATATGGTATACAGAGCAGTTTCCTGATAAAGTGGACAATCAGAAAATGCAGATGAGGCTCAGTTTCTTATGCACATGGTGTCTACATGGCTCTATGTGGTACCTTTGAAGATAGCAAAAATAATCTTTCCTTGGATGCTTTCCAGCCCTCCCTTTACTCCCTGACATAGTCTCATGTATTGTCTATGCCTCAGAACCTTTGCCAGATGCAGCCTGAGCAGTACATATGTGAATTTATGGCATATGTAGGATCTGAGAGACCAAGGTTAAAATTCTTCCCAGCCTCTCTCCCTCATTAATGAAGTCTAAAGATTGTTCTGAAGAGGTACCAGGCTTTCCCCAAAGAATTTGCTTTAACCTTCTGTCACTATATGACAATTGTGTCCAAATTCATAATCTTGAATGCCCTCTTTATTCCACAAGAGTCATCTGGCTCCTTGACAGAAAAAAACACAGGCTCTGGCAACTGGAGTTTGTGGCCTGTGTGAAAAAGAAAATGCAGTTAGGCAGCTAGGTGGGATTTCAAGGCTCCTTTTGTTCTCTTTATGTCATTCACCTATAATTCTGAGAAATTTCTGGGCTTTCTTCCATATTAAGTGTCTGTGTGTAAACCCCTCAAATGACCTAGTGTACAAAAGATTTTAGCTGTGGAGATGCTTTCCAAAGCCCATTTATGTTCTTTGTCCAAAATCTGTGTGTTTCCAAAAGAATCATTGTAACCTTTTACTTCAGAGCAGAGTTTTACATAGCAGTTCACCAAAAGGCAATTGTCCTATGCAAAACTAGAAAGCAATTATGCTATTTTTTACTATTCAATCCAGCTAAGTCCCAGGAGCATTTACTAGAATTTGCTGTGGGCTGTGCAGAGCAATTGAATGATTTATTTGCAATCCTGCTGTTGCAGTGCCATTTAGGAAAACAGCAAAGGTTCTCCCATCCTCCACATTATTTTGTTGTTTCTGAAAAGTATTAATTCAAAAGCCAAAATAATCTTTTCTTAATAATTATAATTATGGAATGGTCTTTTAGGGGAGGAGGGTCATGGCAGAAGAAAGCAATATATCTCCATTTTCACTAGAAATTTAAAAAAGGTCACACTTTGGCTGAATGTCAGTTTTAAAGGAGAAAAAAGGACCTGTAAGGCTGTTTATTCTGCAGTGGCTGTGGAGGTTATGTGAACCTCTGCAGAAGCCCAGCAGCACAGGCATACAGGACAGTGTTTGTGGCACTGCAGACATATCAGTCACACAGACTGAAGACTTTGCTAAGTGCACCAGCAGAAGCTAATTCCTGAGTCTGTGTGAGACAGCTCTGCCTGGAGATACAGTGCAGACTGGCAAGTGCCCCATGGTGCTGCTCATCTCAGCTTCTTACTGCAGTCTCCCGGTGGGCGTGTTTTATAATGTCACTGCAACGAGGTTTTCCAGTTGGTTTCTTCTAGGGATCTGTTGGGATGTTAAGGCTCTGCTTCCTTGGGGGAGGTGTGTGAGTTTTTTCCACCTGACTGAGTTCTTAGGCTAGGTCAAAGATGTAATCAATGTTCATGGGAGTACTTCACACAGCAAGTTATCTCTTGTTCTGAAAACAGCCCTGGTTCTGCAATACTGAGCTCTGGATAAATAGAGAGAGTCACCTGAATGGACTCATTATAGGATTGAAACCTGCATTGTTGAGAAATGTATCTTTCCCAGTAGTGATCGATTTTTTTGCCCATTTGTACATGGAGTGTGTTTCTCCATGACTTTGCTAAGGTTTACTAGCTGTCTAGGTTTTCTCTGGACTGTAACATTTTATAGCTGAAGCTTACTGTGACTGGCTAACTCATCTGCTGTGGAAGCCTGCTGGAAGATGCTCCCTTCCTGCCACAGAAACACACTGCTCTCAGTCAGCTGCTCCACAGTAGCTGTCAGTGGGTAGACCCATGGCACACGTGAGTGTGGGGAAGGTCCCTTGCATGAGCTGTTGGGTAAGGGCTGGCAGGGAGGACAATAAAGCAGCTCACACACTGACTTGCTGCTGTCTCAGTAAGGAAGCTGCCTACAACTTTCTGTGTGCTCTGCAGCTTGTACAGCTGCTGAATCTGTGCTGGGATGTGCTCTTCTCTGGAGAATGCAGGAAAGGGCCAAGGAACACACAAAGCAAAGAACATGAAGCTAATAAAGAAATCTATGTCAGGGTTCTGGATGCAAAAGCAAGCTCTGGAGAAAGGAAAGGGCACCCCTATTCAATCAAATGTAGAAATGCTACATTTCTAAGATTATTTACCCCATAAATTTCAGGAGCAACAAAAAATTATGGAGTGAAAAATATGATTTGGTGATATGATGTGAATAAACAAAGATAGACTTTCTTTTGTATATTCTCCAATGTAATGCTTCAGAGATCCACTCGAGAAAAGAGAGCTCAAGAGACAACGTAAGGCCATAGATGTGTAGCAGTCTTTAGGCAGCACATGCTTATGAACAAACTCATGTCTGATTACGATATTAAACAATTAAATGAAGTGGGTTTGCACGGTGAGATCCAGAGAGAGTTGGCAAACAAACACTGTGTTTACATTGGTGACTTCTACAGGAATATCTATGCTGTAAATTTTGGAGAAGTCACATTTATTCTGCAAATTGGGCTTGAGCAGACATTTTCATCTGGGGACTTATTTACGATAATGTAAATGCTGACATGGA